CCGGCCCAGCCTTAAACGGTGACACTCTTTTTCAAACATGAGATATGGTGAGGTCACTATCCTCTTGCCCGTATCTTTTACAAACCAGATCCTGTTATTCTGTCTATACTAGATGAGCCAATTCCTTCCATAAGTTGTGACAACAATGTCATGGTAAATATTTGTTGAAGTGTATTCATGAGAAAACATGCTTCTTTTTGAAATTTCAGACTGTTAAAATGTGTGAAATGAACATGTTTCTTTCAAGGCTAAAAATTACTTGTTTTACTTAGCTGTGGAATCTTTGTTTCTAACAGATTAATAACATAACCACCAACAATCAAGTTACAAAATTAATTGCAATTCCAGCACCTACCTCACAAGAATTGAGGTAAGTAATTTTGAATAAGGATTGAAATCTTTGTTAAATTTCAAAAAGATGAAGTGAGACCTTCCATGTGGTTAGCAGCCTCTTCACTTCGCATTATTCCTGCACTTTATAAAAAATTTCAGGAATTGTAAGTTATTGTTCTTTAACATAAAGTTCATATTGGTTAGAATAATCTTTGTTTTGTTTTATGTACCACTGGAGTTTGTTTTAAGAAATGCTACTTGCTGATTTCCTTTTAGGTCCTTCAGTTTCCTTGGAGCTCAACAAGGCCCAAAGGCCCTGTTGTTTATTTGCTGATGATCTTAATAATAGTAATAATAATTGTAGTAGTAATAATAATAATACCTAAGGGTATGAGCTGTGGATTGTTGAGAATGCCAGTCTGGCTGCTGCTCTTCATAAATGAATGAAGGTCTGTTTCATAGGAAGTTACGAAGAGAACTTTCATAGCTGCGTGTTTTTTAATACATATTCTTGGAGCCATATCTATATTTTTATTTTGGTGTAGTTTCTTCTTTCACAGTCTTTACAAGGAGAAGTTAGAATGAGTGAATATTTACTGCTATTCCTAAAACTTACCCTGAAAATCAAAAAGATGTAATTGGCCGACAGGTCTTGTTTGTAGAAGAAATCCATATTTCTTACTCATTTCTGTGGCTGTGAGTGTAAATTTAGAATTCAGTTCCAAATGCTTGCTTGCCAAAAGGCAACATTAAGATTTGGTTTTTGCTCTTTTAAATAACGTTTAAAGAAGTAGATTGATGTTAAAATATGTGATGGCAGAGATTTGAACTTAGATTCTGGAGTGACTAATTAAAGGCAACTTTTAAAATGTTTAATCCTTTGAGAAGTGGTTTTACAGTATTAGAACTGGCATGATTTTAAAAAATCACTGATCAACTGGAAATTTTTTTTTTTTTCCCTCAGTAATTGCTTGGTCTATTCATTATGTTATTGTAGTTGTCTTCAGAAACATAACTAGAAATCCTCCATAATGGTAACTTTTTATTTTAAAGTATTTCAGAGTTCAACAAAACCTTGCAAGCAGTAAGTGAGGTAAGATTACTAACTGTTGTTACTCTTTGGAAAACTTTGTTCCAACTTATTCCTGATAATGTCATTATCTAATTATCAGTCCTGTTTTCTCCTGACAAAACAATTTTTTTCTGTTTTCGCTTGTCATTACAGTCCTCTGTTATGGAATGCAGTGCAGAAAACCAGAGGTTTGTTCTTAATTTTTTGACTGCTCATATATTGTCATGTGATATATCAAGTATGAATGGCTATGTAACAGAAGAAAAAATGAACTTTCTAGGAAGTTAAGCTTGAGAAACAGGCTGGAGAAATATTTGTAGGCTGACAAAGACATTCTGATCTCATTATTCTGCTAGGACTAGCGATTTTTTTAATTTGTGTTTTTAGATTATTTTTTTTCTAAAACCAAACTTTTCATTAATTCCTTTTTGTTAATCTTCTAGTGAAGCACAGGCTTGCCTGCCATATTTCTTGTGCATCTTTGCATTAACTGAGTCACATGGCAACTTAAGCACTAAGGCTATGGGATTTGGGAGCACCAAACTTCCAGGGCTTATGAATACAATGCAATCTTTATGAGGGAATTGCTTCAGACATCCCAAGTTGCTGTTCTTTGGCTTGGGAAACCAGCCATCGTCAGGGGAAGCCTGAGAAGGTAACCAGTTCAGAGTTTGGAAGCCATGGGGTATCGGAATGGCAAGGCTGCTCCACAGAGGTGATCCTGGAAACACTGAAATGTAGATAATATCTGTCAATTTAATTGCTAGTCACCACTAAATTTGAACTGATCCTTTGAACCGATCAGCTTGGAAACACTGTAGTCTAAAACAAAATGTGGAACTTCATTTCCCCAAATACTTGAATTTGGGGTTTATCTTCCTGAATTAGGATGAAGGAAATGTCCAAAACACTCAACTAGTAATAGGCAGGAAGTCAGATCACACCTTGATGTCATATACTGGCAGTAGTAAGGGTACTGTTTTCATTCTTGTTAGCTGGAAAGAAGCTTCACTTCATCTTTTATGTCTTGCCTTTTCATTCTCCTGTGTGTTTGGGTTTGCTGCAAGTGAAGAATTCTTACTGTAGGTTTGCTAGTTTAGGCAGGGTTTCAAGTCATGGAACCATAATTGTAAATGTGTAGTTACATGCTTAAGTGATTCATTTAAGTTCTCTCTAAAGTCAAAGAGAGAGAACACTGGCTTTCCCCAGGTGATGCAGATTTCGTATACACTGACATAGCCACCTAGGACATTTGCTAGTTCCTCTCTGGAGTTTCTTCACAGTAACAGTGGAGATTATGTTATTATCTCTACAAAATTATCAACTCTCTAAGGGCTAACATTAATTAGGAAGGACCCCATTTAAGAATCAACAGTGTCTGTAGAGAAAAGAGAAAATAAGCTGCCACAAAGTGATGTATTACTCTTCTATTTAGCCTGGCATAGTGTTTTATGTGCATGAAAAATATTCCCAAATCTGAAGGAGCCTAGGAAAAATGTGCTTTAACACTTAGTATCACTTAGCATTTTATGTTAGTTTCATGCGTTGTAAAGATGAGGCAGATCTGTTTCTTCAGTCTAAAGCTTTTTCTTCTCATTATAGTATACACTGCAGTTTCATAATGAGGCTGGCTGAGAGAAAGAATATAAGTAGTTTAACAGACAAAGTAGAAATAAGCCAACTTGGTAAGTTTTGCTTTAAACATAGTCTCATCACAGTTACCCTTTCAGATTAGTTTTTGTATCTTTACACATGACCTCCAAATAGCTGAAAGAAAAGACTGTTACTTATTTTTACATAAAAATATTTTTTTGTTGTACAATATACATGCATAAAAAATGCAGTCTTCTCATTTTTAGTTGGGGAGGGGGAAGATAGAAATATATTTTTAAAAACCTTGGTATAAAATTGCTGACTACATTAATAAAGCAGACTTTGAAAGGATTAGGTGTAAAATCACTTGAGAACATAAAGGTGTTACCGAAATGGCGATCTGAATTGAAAAGTTTATAAATTAGCCAAGCTTTCTTAGTGATACTGTGATAGTATGGAGTGGTGACTCATACCATTTGTCTCTTTGTTTCAAAAGATGTACCTTGACATTTTGATTTGCTTACAATAACAAAAAGAGAAATCTGTACTTGTCAGGCATTGAGCAAAAATCTGGGGGTATTGTAGTATTCTGACTGGTCAAGATCTGTTTTGCAAATGTCATTTCAGAAAAAAAACCTCAAAATCAATTATGCAATACAGACTATCGCTGAAAAAACATAAAACACATGCTTATTTGAATATCCTATTTAAAAGTATTAGCAATTTTTATGCTTCAGGATAAGCTAGGTTAATGCTTCTTTGTCATCTCAGAACGGTGCTGCTGTTCATCACTGAAATATTGTTCCTTGACTGCTGAAGAATTACAAATGTAGTAAGTATAAATACAAAATTTGACTTGCTTATTTACTAAATTTCCTAATGCATTAGTAGAGTCAACTTCCACGTTGCAGTGTAATAACCAGGAAGGAAGCTGACTGGCATTTTCCTATATAGCTCCCTCTCCATTCCTCCCTCTTCCCCTCCCCTCCCTTCTCTTCCCTTTATTTTTTTCTCCCCCTCCCCACCCCCCTTCCCCGATGCAGATAACTTCTGTGTTCAGCATCAGGTCACCTCCAGAATAGGCAGCAAAGGCAGTAGTAATATTTATGGACTTACTAGTTAACAACCGCAGCGAAATAGAATGTAAGAACCCTCAAAATGTTACGTAATTTGTATTTGTTACTACAGCATGAAATATCCAGTCTGATTTTAAAATATAAATGATATGGACATATTACTAATAATGTATATATTCCTCTATTATAACTTGTTTTTCTTAAAATATAAACAATGTTAAATTTAACATGCATTTCTGTGCCCTTTTTTTTTTTACAGTACTATACAAGTGCCACCTCATTCTATATGGGTTCCTTTCCCTCATTCTCCTTCTCTCCCTAAAAAGACTTTCCCCAAACCTTTTATTTCCCCCACACTGCTTTCTACCAAAGCAAGCCCCACAATTAGACCACTGATCCCACCATTCACAGAAATTTATTTTTCTGGAACTCTCTCCACATCTCCCACTACAAATCCTCTCTCTGAAACTTCTGTCACGTCTACTATTGAAACTTCTGTGTCTTCCACCAGTGTTACCACTACACTCTCCTCTTCTGAGTCTCCTGCTCAACCTGGTGTGCTAAGTTCTCCTTCCATAGCTTCTGATAAATCTGTCACTATTTCCACACCTGCAACAAAATCTGTCACTAATGCTGCTTTCTCAGTTAAATCTGATGCTGCATATCTTAGCAAGCCTATTACAATAGTTTCTCCTTCTGTAGGTTTCACTAAACATTCTGCAGTTTCCTCTTCTGAGCTTCTCCCCAAACCTTCAAGAGCAATTCCCCACTTTGAGACTACCACCAAATCTGTGGCACAAATTCATCCTGCTACAGATTTGACCCAACCTATTTCTGGTAACAAAAATGTTACCACAGCACCTATTCTTCCCCTTACTCCTTTCACAATAACTTTGACCCCTACTATTAGTCCTATCAACCATTCTGTCTCAGCTTCTCATCCTCATTCTACTGCTGATAGCCATGGTAGCCTGCCTAATGGGAGCACAGGTAAATATAAAATAAATATTTTTTTTTTTAAATGCCATATACTGAATTTGCTTTTAAACTTTATTAAACAAGACCATATATCTGAGCTGTGACCTTCCAATTAGTGTGAAAAACCTGAGACAACTCTCAGGAGGTGTATGTTTATTTTAAAATACATTCTGATGCCTTTGGCCATGATGACTGATACCTCACCCTACAAATTGGTTGGTAACTGTGGTAGATAGGTACTATGCTAAGTTCCCAACAGGTACCTAAGTCACAGAGCCACACGACTATTGATTTTACTAAGTTAGTATTTAAAATATTGCAAATCAATGTTGGATCTTCCTTAAAATACTGTTATTGATTAGGAATATTCCTAAGTGGCTCTGTATTTTCCTATGAAGATTGTACACATCTTTCCAAGCTTCTTTTCAAATTACTGATCTTATCTTGATTTTATTCTATATTCAGGCATTCAGTGACTAAAAATCAAAAATAATAGATTATTTAACATCACTAATGGTCTGTTGTGAGGAACGTTGTAATCACTAAATAGTGGAATTAATGCTGGCCATTTGAAACCTTATTTATGTTTTCATAAGATTTAAAGTATTGCTATCTGCAAAGTAACTGATAGGGAGAAAAAGGGATTCTATCTCACATAACATGTTGAGAGACCCTGTAAGCTGTGATAAGGTTTGTTCGTCAAGAAAACTGCTTAATCTTTCTGCTTCTCAAAGCTTACTTCATTTGTTGAACACAATGTTTAAATAAATGCACAACTTTTCTCTTGTCACAGGAAAGATACTATCGGTCGCTGCATATACAACTTCTGTATATACCACCATTAGTATCACCACAGCAGAGCAAATCGTGTCCAAAATAGAAAATGATTTAGCAGCTGGAAAAGTAGAGCCAGAAGATGTAGAAAGGATGGTTAGTGAGGTTAGCAAAGTCCTGACTGCTTCTCAACCGTTACCACCCCGAATTTCTAACAGGTAGGTCATTCTGGCAGTAGATTAAAGGTGTGTTGTATTGGCTGTCTTGATAAATTGGCTTCTGCAAGTTTCGTTTTTTCATATTCATAAACCAAAAGAATATTTCTTGTTCTTTAATGTACTAAACAAAACAGAAGGAGTATCATTCTAGTGTAACCAGCTCTACTGTAATACAATGCCATGGAAAAGTGTTTTCTTTTGTGTCGACACCACAATAAGTGAGCAGTCAGCTGTATTTTACGCTACGCTCAGATTGCTGCTCCATAACCACAACTTGCCTGAGAATTTTGGGTGTATGTGTTTGGTCATACTAAGTATCTCTTTTTCTTAACAGAATTATAAAACTAGTGGATTATATTGGCTTAAAACTGAACTTTTCATCAATGTCTGCTGAATTTGCCTCTCCGTCCTTGGCTCTGGCAGTTGTCAAAACCAGTAGCATCCGCTCCAAACAACTGTCTTTTGCTGTCCAGGACTCAGCTGATCTCCAGGTGAAACACTGATAATTCTATGTACTTGTAAATTTTCAAACAATTATTTTTGAGTATTTATGGTTTTATATTTACATGTAACATGAGTTTGTTCTGTGTTTATGTCACAATTTCAGGATCTTTTGTTCTTGTTAGTTTCAGAGAAAAAATACTTTGTTTTTGAAGCCCTCCATAGTTTTTCCTTTCATTTTCTATTGTGTAAGTAAGTGTAAATAAGCAACACTTAGCGGAAACTGACATTCGACAAATAAGCTGTTAGAGAGGAATGGACAGAGTGCTTGATGGAATAACTTTGCCTCTGAAGCCCTGAATCATGAGTTATTTAATCACCTACCTGGATAGTGCTGAAATTTGTCAAGGAGTGTTGCCCGATGGCTTCTTCTGTTAGAAGGAGATTAATTGCAGAGGGTTCCAGGAAAGAACTATTATGTTGCTTGGATAATGACATTCATACATTTATCACTCATGACTAGTTGATCTCACCAAGGAAGAAGTGCTTAGAAAGTGGATCCACTTTGTCTCACTCAAAACCTCCCTTCTGGTTGAGGAAATAATAATTTGGACAATACCAGCCTTGGAGGCTTAAGCAAGGAGAGTTCTGGACAAATTTTGGCACATTTTGTCCTCTCAGAGAAGGAAATAGCTTAATGTAGTGTGAGCCAGAAGTAGTACTGGAACTGTTCTGTGATACTGAAAATGATATGAGATGTTAACATTTGAGTTCTTTTTTATTTTCGTAGCAATATGTGGTGCATGAATGTGAGGTGACTAGAAGTTGGTAGTGTTGAAAACCAGAATTAGCTAAGGAAGGATTTTCTGGAAATCTCATGGCACTAGCAATGAAGTACAGAGAATTTTGAACAAGCATCATCTAGTTCAAACCAGAGCAACAGGAATGGTTTTGTGGAATTGACTCAGGATCTCTTTGGTGCCTGTGTAAACCAATGATCTCCAAATTTGAGTGTGAGTACCCCAGGACATGCACACAAGTCCATTGGGGTGTGGGAAGAAAATATTTTTTCTATGATTAATAAATGAAAAATACATTTTTTAAAAAATAATGTTTAATCTTTATCTCATCCTTCAAAATTTCTATTTTTGTGTATGTTTTATAATGTGCATAATATATTACTACAGTAGTACATACATATAACTTATAAACAGATAGATAATATTTTGGAGTGCATGCTGAAAATATTTTTAAAGGTTGCATGATCAAAAAAGTTTGGAGACTACTGGTCTAAACAGAAGAATTAAACCATATTGTTAGGGCTCTGTGGGGACCTCACACTCTTATTGCTATTATAGCCATTCTTTGAATACACAGGTAATTTCTTTCTTCAGTTCTGCTGATGTTTCACATCTCTCAGGAGCTCTGAGATGATGATATTTATATGTAAAGTGACTAATGTGTGACGAGAAAGTGTTAGAGATTTTGTATTGACAAAACTCTCTGTCCTATAAATACAGCACAGAAAACTAGGTGAAAGTTCAGATCTTTTTTTTTTATAATGTCAGATCACGAAGCTCTTGAGATATCTGAATTGTAGTTTATCCCGTTTATTTTTGTCATTTTTGCTGGATGATCATAAAGTTAGGGTTTAGGTTCTTAGAGTCTGCTTAACCTACTGTGCTTAAAAGCCTATTGACAAATAATGGCTATTTACAGTTTTTCTGAATTCTGACATACTTCATATGGACTATAAAAATTCTTTGCCTTTGCAGCCTTCTGTGCTGTGAAATGTTAATCTCCCTACGCAGTTACGTAGACCTACCTAAGTTGTTGCTCTTCACCTTTTTCAAATCAATATTATCCACCACGGTGATGTGTTCTGTCCCTGTAAGCAAATGGGTAAAGCCAGAGTATTTTTGATGGTAGGCAGACGTGAAATGAGTTGCATCCTTTTCAGGCCTGCAGATGTCATTTCTTCTTTGAAGCAGGAGAGGAATGAGAGAGCAGCAGTGAGGTCCTGACAGTGATTACAGAGATACGTATTTCAAAGTTCTAAACTGAAAATCAGTCGTAATTTAATTTTTCTTTAGTGACTGAAATGAAGCATAATCCTTGCGTTTATTTTTCAGATCTCTCTAGGCATTAACGCAATTCATGATCTAAATAATCTCGGATCAGTTACACTTCCTTCATCATTGCTGACAAATTTACCCCCTGAAGAGTTGGACTTGGCTTCTAGAATTATATTCAACTTCTTTAAAAAGACCACTGTGTTCCAGGTATCTTTTTGAAACTCTGTTCATAAGGGTTTTAAACTCAAGCCTAGAGCAAAATAAAATATGAATGGACTTTTTTCCCAACAAAACACATTTCAAAACTTCCTGATTTAAAAAGTAATTATTTTTGTCCAGTGCTTTCTCCGCATAATAACTGAGCTTGTGGGTGCTGCACTGTACTATTGTTTCCCTTAAGATTTTAAAATGTGATTCTTTTTTGTCATTCCAGGATCTGTCTTTAAAGAACGCATCTTTAATCAGCAATGTTATATCATCTAGTGTTGCTAACCTCACAATTAGCAACTTAAAGGCAAATGTTACTGTCACTTTACAGAATATCAAACCTAATCAGGTATGATTTATGGTTTGGCAGACTTAAAGTACAATTCTGTTGCCTCCATTGGAGTTGTTGTAGAAGAAATTCTGTACTAAGAATACAGATCGCTTTGTTCTGCTTTACTAGTGTGGACATTTCATCTCTATCTGGACTTTCAGAATCACTCATCTTTGCTTATTTATCACTGGTATAAATTTTTGTTCTCAGATGGTTTCAGGCAGTTTTGCTATATCAGTTATCCATCTGTTTTTTATCTTTCCTACCTACCCTTCTATTTTATTCTTCAAAGAAGAAAAACTCTTAGATTAAAGCCTGACCACGGGGGGTTTGCTACAGAGATGCTGCAGTAATGACATTTGTAGGTGCTGCATGGCCAGAAAGCAATATAAGTCTTTTTTCTTAGGGGGAACATTGTTCCTTAAACTGGAACACAGGATTGTGTCATCTAGAAGTATTAAGGCTCACATACAGCATCTCTTTCCTAAATAAGCATCAGGGATTAAAATCTTCTATCCCGTATCTTAAAAGAGTTTAAAATACTGAAATATTATAAACTGAAAAGTGTAGGGATTCCACTAACATATCTGAAGCTTTTTTCAAGAGCTGGCTTAGTGTAGTCTTTACTTGTATTGATATAACACTGAGTTTTGAGATATAACTGTAGAAGTATTAGTATTCATAGCAGTATAGTGTATTACTGCTACTATTTTAGCATTTTAATATGTGTGGGGAGAATCCATATGTAAACCTTTAACATCATGGTAATATTAAGTGATCAAATGTTTGCAAATGAAAACGTTTTTCCTTTTCTGTGTGATCATGTTCTCAATACTTATAAAATCAGAAAGGATGAGAGATCCCAAGAATTGTATAGCGTGGGAAGACAATGAAAGAGCATTCATAATGTTCTACCAGGAATAGAATCTTAGTGTAAGCATGAGCACTAGCTCCTCTATGGTGACTTCAGATTTGTTCAGCATATTTTCACATGCATATTGCAATATTAATCTATTCTATGCACCTAAATTCATTTTGTGTTCATCTAAAAGAGGTATATTTGCTGTATACAGTATTTATTCTTGTCTGCATTTTGTAGATAATTCATAAATTACTGGGTCATAAACTTACAGTTTAGTAAAACATCTTTTTTTTTTTTTTCTTTTTAATCTCCTAAACAGGATAATTCAACAGTTAGATGTGTTTTTTGGGACTTTAATAAAAATGGTAAGTACTTGATATCACCTAAGATATCATGCAGTTTTAGCTATGTTAACTCATGGTAATATAAATAATAAATAAAGTTTTTTGTGAATAACAAAACTGTTTTCTTTAACAGGTGGACATGGAGGCTGGTCATATGAAGGTTGCATAGTTAAAGAAAGTAGAGTAAATGAAACAGTCTGTTCATGCAACCACCTCACAAGCTTTGCAGTTTTGATGGTAATTATTTAAAAAATTATGCTATCTTACCCTGATTCAAGAACACATTTAAGCATGTGTTATCTTAAGCAAATGAGTATTCACTGAGCACATAGCACCTATGAAATCCTACTCAGGTTCTATTCACTTCAGTGTTAGTACACATAGCCATACCATTAGTCATGTGCTTAAGCTGCTTGTTGAATGGGGACTCATTAGTTCGATTGGAGTAAAAAATGCCTTAGGTGCTTATTAAAACGCAGCTTTTACATTTAGGCTGTTGTTTATATTGTAGGAAATAAAAATGAGGATAAATTTAAAACAGTTTTATAATCAATTGGGGTTTCACAATTGGAATCATAGACTAACTCAAGTTAGAAAGGACCCATAAGGATCATTGAGTCCAACTCCCTGCTCCTCTCAGGACTAGAGTGGCTTTTCCATTTTTCAGTTAACCTTTTATAAGATCCATGATGAAAAGAACTGTTTCCTTTTTTTTTTCTTTAAATTGCAGAGGGAAGGGTGCATTTTGGTTTTTTTTGATCTTTTTCCATTTAATAAACATGTTATCGGAAATTAACTTCTCTTTCTGTTTTAGAACTTGTATGGAAATACTCCTTTGAATCCCACACAAGAATTGGTACTGACTTTTATATCGTATATAGGCTGTGGCCTCTCTGCAATTTTTCTTTCTATTACTCTTGTGACCTACATAGCCTTTGAGTAAGTACCTGTTCTAACTAAGCTCCTATTATTCTTCAATTATAATTGCTTATAGTCTTCACTGCAAAGTCCTTTCCAATAGTTATGGATTCTGTCTTCATTAATAATGCACAGATTTGACCAGTTTACCAGGAAGGTGTTGATTCAGTCTTCAGGAATGTTAATGTTATGGACAAATGAATTAATCATGAGGCTCTATACAGTAAGAAGTGAAGAAGTAGCACTCTTAAATATTTCATAATGGATTATCATAATAGAAGTGTGAAGGAATGTTTTTAAGGTACAACATATATAGACCCATGCAGAATGATAGCATTTTTAAACGCATTTGTATTTTTTGTTGTTTGTCAGAACGTTTTCTTACATTTGAGCCCTTACTATTGAATTCTCCATACTATGTTTTGGAAATCCTCCTCGAAGTTACTCAGCACATGTTTATTCTCTCATTATCCTGTCATCAAGGACTTACTTGTCTCTATCAAGGCTTTAGAAGCCGAATCAAAAGCCTAATCTAGCTTAGCAATAAAGAACAGTCACATTTTGGTTTTTGGAAGTACTGTTCAAGATGTTGTTCAACATACAATGTAAAAAAAAATAATCATGGTCCTAAGCTGTAAGAATCCAGGTTATTGTTTGTATTTATGTAACCTTATTATAACAAATTCTATTCATACAGACCATTACTTTGGAAATCTTTTGTAAATTACTCTCTCCACTCTCTCCATGTATAAATGCAATATATGAAGCATTATATATGAATGAAAATACATAAATATTTTTTTCTTGGCATTTTTACACTAAGGACTACCAGAGAGGAAGTAAGCCAGGGATCCATGGACACTTGATATCATCTCACTAATTTGCCTTTTTTTTTTTTTTTTTTTTTTTTTTTTTTTTTTTTTTTTTTTTTTTTTTTTTTTTTTTTTTAGGAAAATCCGGAGAGACTACCCTTCCAAAATCCTTATTCAGCTGTGTGCTGCCTTACTTCTACTCAACTTAGTTTTTCTCCTTGACTCATGGATTGCACTGTATGATACACGAGGCCTGTGCATTGCAGTTGCAGTATTTCTTCACTACTTTCTCTTGGTTTCCTTCACCTGGATGGGACTAGAAGCTTTCCACATGTATCTGGCCCTTGTGAAAGTCTTTAATACCTATGTACGGAAATACATTCTTAAATTTTGCATTGTTGGTTGGGGTATGTATTTTTTATTGTTTGTTTTTTTTTTTCCTCTTGGATGCTAAATAGATAAATCCTCTTACCAGGTATTTCAGTGACTGTGACACAGATCAGAAATGAAAATGAAGCAGTCATTAAATGTTATGACCTTGCAGTGACCAGGTATTCATTATCAGTAAATTTGATGCTATATATTCCACCTTCCTGAGGTAGGGAACTCCCCCCCTAACTGCGAAACTGAGGCTGCTGCAGTGCAGATTGATAATGAATTTTCCTTGTGCAAGTACAATAGAACCAAATTTTGAATGTGCATACTTCTATTTCCATTTACCAGATGGATGGCATCAGTTGTGTTTTGAAAATAAATGCCAGCAAGTATATATATTCCATTTCTGGGATAGCACTGTTGCTAACAAAAAGCAGCAAAACAGATCTACTTGGATAAAGGATGAAGATATTCTGGACCTGACTATCCTCTCTGGCCACTTGAGTAAACACGAGTGACGACACTAAAATCAATAGAATTGTTTGCTTAAAACAGAAAGAAAATCACATATTCTATATTTGATGTTTTAAATCAGTTTGATGAGTGATGGTATTGTCTTCTTCAGAAAGGTTTGGAGCTACCTGTGGAGAAAAACTTTTTGTTTCTCTGCAAGTTATGCCCCTGAGCAGTTTGAATGCTCCAGTTTTTAGATTCTCTCAGAGAGCTGGTAGTCCACAGAATTCAACAGACAAATTTCAGAAACAAGTTGTAGATTTCACAGAAAAATATAATAATTTCAAGTCCTCCTGGTGCTGTCTTTGTCGTGATTTTCATTTATGTGTTTGCTCATAATCTTTTAGGGTTACCAGCAGTAGTTGTGTCCCTTGTGTTGGCAGTATCGCCAGATAATTATGGACTTATAACCACTGGAAAGGTTTCAGTAAACAGACCTGATGAATTGTGAGTTAAAAGGAGGTGTTTTTTGGGGGGTGGGTGGGACGAAAGTCTTATGAAATTGCTTTTCTTTAAAGTAAAGGTGGGGAGGGGAAGGATGCAATGGGAGACCTTTGAAATGGGTATAATTCTGCAGTATGTCATGTGTTTTGTGGTTATTGCCTACATGAAAGCTCTTACCCTTTGGCCAAAAAACCACTTTTTACTGAAGAGGCAAAAATGGTTTGCATATGCAACAAACTACACCTTTATCTCATGTTTATTTTGCTTAATTTCTGTTTCTGATAATGGTTGACAAGACTGTTCTTGTGTTCTAGCTGCTGGATTAAAAATAGAATTGTCTTCTACATTACTGCTGTGGGATACTTTTGCCTGATATTCCTCATCAATATCAGCATGTTCATTGTTGTGCTGATCCAGCTCTGTCGTATCAAAAAGAAAAAACAACTTGGTGCTCAAAGAAAAACAAGTATTCAAGACCTTAGGAGTGTTGCTGGCCTCACATTCTTGTTGGGAATTACTTGGGGATTTGCTTTCTTCACAGTAAATGAGGTATTTACTTACCTCTTTACCATTTTCAACACTTTGCAAGGTAAGTTTATCCTTCGTGTGACAGCCCATTGTGTACCATATAATGAACAAAACATTTGGGAATGGCATTTTCTTGATTCAGCAATAAAGACGTAATTTTGATACATGCTTTAACATGTTAATTAGGGATGATACTGCTTTACTGTAATCTTAAATTACAGTTATGTTACAGTAAGGTACAGGAAAGCTAGTTACAGTTTATAGATATAGTATATGTATATCTGTAAATATTATAATTTTCAAAATGTATGCAAACCAGACACCATTGGAAGTAACTGTATTTCTCTAGTCAACAGATTGATTGTAAATACTCAGTTACTGTAAGTGTTCACATAATAATGCAATTAATGTAGTGAAAACTGTATCATTTCTCCACTTACCCCTAAGGTTTAGGGGTGACAATAAAGAGCCATTGAGATGGGCAAGGCTGCAGCGTCTAAAAGTTAGTGGTCTAACGCTCAAGTGTGGCCTTTAGTACTTCAGAACATGTAGGAAGTAGATAGGAAGGCATGCAGCTTTGCCAAGGCCAGGAGGCTACTGGACATATCCAAAAGCAGAGTTTCAGAGGCTGCAAAAGGTTTCATATAAATAGGAGGTAGCATAGGTGCCTACAGTTATCTAAGTAATTGCCTACTGAAGTTTGAATCCAAACCTGTGCTTAAATGGCACTTTAGATGACTGGCTGGCTGATTTCCCAGAGAGACGAAAGCAATGAAAATTATAGTTCAGTGTATACACTCCTATTCTGTTTGCTATGTTGATTTCTGAGTACCGTACTCTTTGGTAACTTGAGGGGTTAAACCCACATCTTCCCAAGTCTTGCATGCGATTGTGTTGAACTAACACAAGACTAGATTCTGTGTGGTCAGAGTAATCTGTTATGTGAATTTAAGTTCTCCTTTTACTCAGTTTTAAGTTAGGTGCTGGGCAAATTTTGATATTAGAAGTAAAAAAAGGTGCAGAAATCATATTAACTTTAATTAAGGTTATGCCAGTGTTTCAAAACTGTATTTGAAAATGGTGTGGAACCATCTGTGTAGAGCAACACTTAGTTACATTCAAAAATTCATCCTAAAAGCCAAAGTTAAGAAAGATGTGAGTAATCTCTCCTAGTGGGTTTTTACATGCTTAACTGGCCCTAAAAGCAGTGTAAACATAACATACAGGAGTGTCTGCACCAGTGATCATTTAGTTTTCCTTCACGTTATTTTCTATTCTTTGTAAACCTAACACATCTGTTCTCAGGGAGCTGTAAAATGGTGCAAAGACTGAGTGCCACTTTTCCTTAAGGGGGGATGATGACAATGGACTTTAAGCAGGGAAATTTAGGTCCCACCCTGTGTCAGTTAGAATTGAATGAGAACCAGACAGTGAGTCTGTAATGTGGCACTGGCAAGAGACAGGGATGAGGCCCTTCCCTTCTAGAAAATATTTGGCTTCGAATTTGTGGTAAAGGGGGTACCATTTATTACCGTTTATTACTATTTAAGAAGTAGTAAATGTCAATTTTGCAACATTCTCAAATGTTATTGCTTTGCAGGATTCTTCATTTTTATCTTCTATTGTGTTACAAAGGAGAATGTCCGTAAACAGTGGAGAAGATATCTCTGTTGTGGGAAATTCAGGCTGGCTGAAAACTCTGGTAAATATAAATTATTTTTTTTGCTTTTTTTTTTTTTTTACTTCTGAACACTTATACTCAGTGTTAAGTTCCTAGTATTTTGTAATACTTTTTAAAAAAAATTCAGTAAACCATGTTGCTGCAGTTGCAGTTCTAATTCATTATCCAAGGTATAATGAGCCTCTAAAATTACACTCTTTAAAGGTGGTAGTTGATGCAGTTCTTGCATACTTATGTGCTGTTGCATTAAGCTGTCAACTGCAGCTGGTCACTTCCACTGCAGTATAAAGGCATGTTTTTACAGAAGACTTTTGCTCAGTTAGAAATGATAAGATTTGTTCCAGCTACTGAGTCAACTGTAGTTTTACCAGTGACTTTCACTAAAACAACATGAAGCATAGTTTAAACCAAAAAACCTATAAATTATTTTATGTTATTTTGTTATGCAGCAGTTGACTTCTCATAAAGCTATGTGCTTTTTATACACTTTAACTTAGAGGATCAACTGTACTTTAGTTATTTTTCTGATCTGGTCTGGAGTTGTAAAACTATGACAGTTGGCTGCTTGTATTTAAAAAAGGGACAAGAGAAAAAGGAACTGGATTTAAATAATTTTAAACACCAAGAATCATGAAATTCTGAGGAGAACATCGTTCTGTCTAGAATACTGTGAGGAGAGTGGGTAAAGCCTTGCTTTTATTTTAATTCAGTTGCATTACTAACTATATTTTTAGATATTGCTTGTATGAGTTGTGCTATTTTCAGTAACATGTATCTATTGTAGACTGGAGTAGAACTGCTACTAATGGTTTAAAGAAGCAGGCTATAAATCAAGGAGTATCCAGTTCTTCCAATTCCTTACAATCAAACAGTAACTCCACTAACTCTACAACACTGCTAATGAATAATGATTATTCAGTGCACGCAAATGGAAATGGTATGTATAATGCAAAATAGCAATTTTTTTTCCTTGACTTAAAACAGAAGTGCTATGCTTTTTCTTGCTAATGTAAAATGAAGTGCTGACAAAATATTACTCATAAATATAGAGTCAGAATATTACAGGATGGCCTCACAAATAATACCACACATCTGTTTTAGGGAACTATAAACAAAGTTTTAAAATACCCATTTCTCCTACTCAGTGGGAGCTCTTGATTTATGTATCAAGTAGTAGGTAATATGCTTTATTAGAGCAATTACTTACTAGAAGCTGCTGTTAACACTTTTCTTGTCACCTGGATATATGACAATAAACTTCAAGCATTTTTTAAAACAGTTCGTATTTTAAACCTTATGAAAACAAACATTGCCTGAAGAAGAAAGAAATACAGGATAATGATATAGCTTGAAAGTATGAAAGAACTCATGTAGGAGGTAATATGAGGAAGAACATTGATGGAATGCTCACGCGGAAACTGCTTATGAGAGGAGAAGTAAGAGAAAATGGAGACAGTAAGTTATCACCTCAGTGAGGAGCGCAGTGCTGAGAGGGCTGCCTCATTGTTAGCTACAGAGGAAGTATTGAAACTGAATTTCTTTGTAGCTCTTTATTTCCCCTGTGGGGTTTTTAAGGATGTTTTTGCCTAACAGAAATATCTCTTTGTTGCAGGAAACAATTCTTCAGAAGTAAAACTCTCTGTCCTTCCTGTTCTAACACAGTACTGTCCTCTGAACTGTCACCCTCTGTTCTGGGAAGTTGAAATGCAGGTGTATGTAGCACTCCAATCAATCTCACTTACAAATTGTTGTGGCTTATTTGTCTATTGAGAAAACTAGATATGAATCTCCTCTGAATGTACTTACTAAAAAATGATCTTTTTTCAGTGGACATAATCTAGTTTTTCACACTCTTGCTGGACATACATCATGCTGCTGATTTGAGCTCTCAGTAAAACCAGTCAGTTTTTCAAAGAGAAAAATAACTTACAAATCCATAATATATAAAAGCCTAAGTTGAGCAAGACTTACAGGACATTACTACTGTGTGCCTGAGGTATTTTTCCCAATTGATCAAGAGCTGAGGCTAAGTCGTCATGCCATCAAGTAGATTGTTTAGTATGAAGCTGTAGAGCGTGCTCGTAGAGACTGTGTTGTCCTCGTTTCCTGGCATATGCTGTCAGAAGGCAGCAGATAATCAGTGGGATAATCTCAGCAGGTAATCTCTCAGATGTACAGAGTAAAAGCTATAGAATTCATATGTGCTGCCCCCTTAATAAGTTACTGTCCATTTGGATGTACTAGCTGTATATTGTAAAGAAATCACAACACTTCAGGAAGTGGCATTTGGACATGCCCTGAACAGCTTTCTAAATTGAGCTTGTAAAATTAGTTCCTTTATTTTTGTGTCATTCCTTTATAAAACGTTTCTGTTTGGATACCACACAATGCAATAATTAACATACTTTGTATCTAACAGGTCAGTTGAGAACCAGAACCCAGTAACTCTCACTGTCATCAAATACAAAGCAAGGCAGTATTTTTAGGTAGAAATAATACCTTTCAAAGAGAGAATTTTTCAGGCACAAAAGCCTGCATGTCTTGTAGGGTTTTTTCCCAGCTATGTTCATTACTCCGATGAAAGATGCCATCTCTCCCTGCAACATTTGACATGCTTAGACACGGCTATAGAAGCATTTTGGCTACTTTTCTCTAAAGAAAGAAAGATAGCAGAAATGTTTTTCTGAACTTGTTTGTTGTAGCACCTGAGTGAATGGTCCTGTTGTGGCTTTCTGGAACAAGTGTTTGTTGATTTGGGTAGTATTTTAGAATGAGATGCAAAATTGATGGTCTAAACCACTGAGCGATGCCAATTCTGTGGCATGTGCTCCAGTTCCATCCTAGTTTATTCACCTAGTTAGATCTTTCCAGTGTGACAGTCTGTATGTCCTGTGCCAACAGCTTCTCAAAGCAACTGAAAGAACTTTGATAGAACTTTGTTCCTATACACTCACAAACACAGATGTCTCAGATGACTCACCTCATCTCCTCTTGTATTTTATTGTATGTTTTGAATGCTGTGAACCCTGTACCACATCCTCCATTCATATCAAAAGGGTTGTATGATACCTTACCTGAATAGTTTGTTTGACTAAATAATTCTTCTGGGTCTTTAGGACTTCTACAAGAAGAGGTTAAACTTAGGCTTGGATAGAGTTGGTCCTCCCAGCAAACCTCTTTGAGGCAATTCCTTACACTTAATCTTCCAAACATGGGGCAGTTTTATCTCAGAAGGGCTGGGCGAATACCTCCAAAAGGTAGTTGACTGGTGTTAGATAGGAACATGGGACCTTCTAATTTGCTGTACTTGATTTCCCTGCTCTCACAGCTAGAACTTCAAAATAACATTGCAATGCCTCATTTTAAAAAGTGAACTCCAAAAAGGAAACACTCTAGAAATTAAGACCTATGTCATAAATGTATTGAGCTGCAAACACTTAATGGTTTTGGCCTCACTACTTCCACTGAAATGATATTCCAGATGCTGAATTGAATGACTTGCTGTAGTAAGTTTGAGGTGTCTATACAGCCTGTGGTTTTGCTTGCCTACTAGACTGTGTAACTTGATCTTTTCATGGCATTCCAGTATTTCCTTGGTTTTGGTTTTTCCCTTACAGGTTTGCATGTTTAGGAAGCTACCATTAGGTATCACATGGCTGAACCTGCAGATTTCCTCACTGAGGAACAGCAACCACCTTTCTGAATTTGTTCACAGAATAGCCTTATTTTCTTCTCAGATTTTGTCCCACATTAGGGCACAGCTATTTTGAACACTTCTTCTAAAATAAAAGTTGTCGTCAGGCAGGGGGTTAAACAACTATATGTGCATAATTACACAATTACAGTGTCAGCAAGTATGGTTATTTTCTGTCATTTCAATCTTTATCTGATTTGAATTGATTAACAGAGTTGTTCTGCTCATCTTACTCTGTTTAAGTGCTTGGTGGTCTTTGAAATTAATAATTAAATATTAGACATTATATTTAAGAGGTGTTGCATAATCTGTTGGGCCATTGCTTCTGTTTCATGGGTCCAGTAGCAGCTCAGTCATGAGGCATGGAATCTGTAATCTTTGTTTGACAGCCATCACCACAAACCCACTCCCTTAAACTCCCGTCCCGAGATGTTTAACTTCAGTTATATGCATTACATTTTCAAACTGGTAGTAAGCTTTATGAGATAGAAATACATGTTCACGTCTTATTTTAAAAATGCTGTCTCTCGTACCAAAGAAAAGCTTGCCAATGAGACTTTGATGCAACTGATACGCTGACGACTGCTTGAATCAGTAGGATAACTGCTGAAAGGTAATGCAGTCTGCCTAAAGTGAAGGACTCGTTTCTAGAGGAAGTGTTCGGGTAGACCAGTACTAAACCTGTGTGCCTGGGGGCCTTGGCCCAAGCAGAATAGAGAACAGCAGTCCAGCCCAGTTACTGAAGCAACAGAATCCTTTCTGCGGGAGGGATTAAGTGCAGGGGAGGGATGTTAGCAAACACTTCTTCCTCTGGTGACCCCAACAAGAAATAGTTGAAGAGCATCCAGTAATGTGGCCCTGCCCCTTCTGGAAGGGTTCAGAAGCTTGAGGTAGTAAGAGAGTAACAGCGGAGGACAGAGCCAAAGCAGAATTCTGCTCCAGGATATTTGAGGAATGAATCCAGGTGTACTAGAGGGTCAGATTTTGATCCCTGTAATGAAGTCATCTTTCACTGCCTAGAGGTTTCTCACCAGTGTCTTTCCTCCTCCTAAAACCATAAACCACAAGCAGTTTCTACTTTCACTGTTGTGTCTTTTCAGTAGATTTACTGAAACCTACTGAATCATGATGATGTTTGTATATGAAGTGTTGTGAATATTAACACAAATAGCAAACTTGGATGTTTTATGTTTTTTATTAATTCTGTTTCTGGTATAAATGATAAATGATAGCTCTGCATCTGTGTTTGTGAACTCATTTCTCAGTGTTTGGCAAAATGATCCCCTCCCAAAAGAAATACTAGTTCTGGTTTTGGTTTCCTCCTTGTGGTATTCCTTATAATTTACTCCTACTGATATGATACATATGATATCGGGATCCTGGCATATCTTTTAAACTTGACTGCTTTGCAAAAAAATCCAACCAGGAGCATTTACACAAATACTTACAATAAAAAAATTCTAATTCTCATCAAATTTATCTAGAACATGATGCATAGAGGTGGGAGACTATCCAGTGAACTGAGCATTTGTGGAGCATTTCATTAATAGGCTTCAATCAGCAGTGATACTGTATGTGTTCGTTGTAGATTCACTAGAATGTGTAAGATTCTCAGTCTAAATATGGCTTAGACCCATGATTGGACCTAGGCCATATTCTGATTGTCCTCCAGAAAGAGAAGCTGAAAGTTGAGTGCCTTTCAAAGGAAAGAAATACCCTTGTTTTCTCAAACACTTTCTTGTTCCAGATGCATGGCAAACCTGAGAAACCTTTTAAACTTAACTTGTTAAAGCAAAACTAGAATGAGAAGTATTTTGCATCCTATCTAGTGGTACTTATTCCAAGTCAAAGTCTACATTCTGAGAATTGTGACCTTCACTGCTTAAAAGATGGAATCCTATTGTGCACAAATATATTAACATCTCTCAAATCTCTTACTGATTTCACACAGGAAAAGAGAAATATGTACAGAAAAATCCACATTTTGAAATTGTTGCAGGGATAAAATGAGAGTGCGTGAACTCCCTACAGTGACTGTAAAAGCATGGGAGACTAGATTCTGAACTTTTCTGATTGAGGATGCACTTTTTTTGTTTCAACAGGCCATCTTGCTGGTGAGAAGAATGGTGTTTCTTTCAGCTTGCAGAATGGTGATGTGTGTCTCCATGACTTTTCAGGCAAACAACTTGTATTTCAAGAAAAGGATGATATAGGCAGCCAAAAAAGCCACACCTCGCTCAGAAGGACTTCAAAGAGGGGAAGTCTAAGTTTTCTTGAAAAAATGTGATTTCCTTTTAAACAGCACATCATTTTACAGTGTGAAGTAGAGATTTACTTCAACAGTTTTACATAATGTGAGCAGACCAGGAACTGATTTTATTTAATATATGATACTGGAACTTCAAGGCAGCCATGCAATGGATTGACAAGGACAATTATTTAAAAAAAAAAAAAAAAAGGAAGTTACTATTTTGACAATGTATCCTGGATGTCAAATTAAAGCTGGCGCATTTCCATTTTGATCCTTCATTACAGGTTTTTTTGATTTTTTTTTTTTAACATTTAAAGGAAAGGTTTGCTTAGACTTTTTTCATTACAACTGAGGTTATCTGGATATCATGCATAGTGGTATTGTATAAATATAGGAAGTTACAACTTGTGCATACAAACGATGTTATCTTTAAAAATGTTAGCTACACTGTGGTCAACTTTTTGTATATTGTAGTAGCAAACAGTGATGTACATAAACAGACAAATATCAGCCTTTAAGCATCTTAATGATACTTTTATATTTATTTCTTGTAATATAAATTTAAATAGTCCTCTGTATAGAAAAATAATTGGTATTTTGTTTTAACTTTTATTGTAAGTTTGCATTTTTCTTTAATTGAGATAATTAACTTTAACATAGAATGATACAGAAGTTAATCTGTTCAGTAAGTGAAACCACTTCCAGTGGTTTAAATATATTCACTAGATACAGAACTGTAAATACAAAGACTATCAGTCTTGAACCTTTAGCAGCCTCTTAGTACACCACAGAGGGGTAGAAACTCGGTATCATCAAAGTAGAGTGCCATAAATGAGGGAACAATAAATAAAGTAGTCAGTAGGTTATTAAATACAACTAAGGTATGTTAGTGACTTGAGTAAGTCAATGGGAGCTTTTGCCATTGATTTCAGCAGGGTTAATATTTTATCTTGAGTGGTGGTTCCAGAGGTTAAACACGCTGCCGTTTCTCATCTGCAATGATAAAGAAAAGTAGAGAAGTGTTATTTTTTGAAGAAAAAATGCAGAGAATAAATGCCAGCTGCTGTACTTAGTAGCTGAGAAATTGGTTGTTTCATTGTGTGGTGGTTTTTTAAGGAGCAGCTCTTGAGCTATTCTGAGTATTTCTGCTTGTACTTTAGCCCGTGTTTGGCAAGCCAAATCCTGAGGCCCTAGCTCAGTAACTCCTGAAGCAAAACTTCATTCCCTTTGTGATATTTGTCTGAAAAAGCTGGATTTTTGGCTCTTCATGCACAACAGCTGAAAGCCCATACAACATTGCGAAGATTCTTCCTGAACAGAAGTTAGCCTGAGCCCTGGTTGTGCCTCTTCTTCCTCACACAGGTGTGCAGTGGTGGCCATTACTTTTTTCCCTTGTGTTCTTCGGCAAAGGTTGGATGCTCCTGGAGTAAGAGCCAGAACAAACTGGCACCACACTACAGAGTGCCAGACCCTATACAGGGGAGTTTTTGAGGCAGATGCATACTGCAAGGGAGCAAAGGCTTTGCTTTCCCAGAGGACTCGGTAGGGAGCGCTGGAAACACTCTTCTCAACTTTTTTTCCTCCTATCTGGGGTTCTGTTGTAGTTCAGCAACTGAACCTCTTCAGTACTGAAACCTTCCTGTGGTTCTGTATGCAATATATGGGTTCTTTTGGTCACCTATGTCCAAGACTACTCTGAATATGCTTTTAAAGTGAGATTTTAAAGTAGTTGTTTATCCACAAGGTTTTAATTGCATGTTAATAAAAGACCATCCTGGAATGCTAGTAGCTGGAATGCATTTGTGTGAATGCTTTAACTATTTGGCTAATTGCTTTTGCATTGTTTCTTGTAAATTTATTTAATGTTATTGTATTTATATTTTCAACTGTAAAAAAAAATAAATTTACAGCAAGTACAACATGTAAAATACATAAACTTTGTCTTTTAGATGAATGTGTTGTTATACTGGGCTGTGTTACAGTTCTTCAGATTACATGAGCTGCAGTACGTAACCTCCTGGAGAAAATGCTGACCTAGCCCTTACGTTTATTGTCTTTCACATATTTTACCTTTCATGGTTCTAGCAGATCTCTTTTTTAGCAGTGAAAACCCTAACATGTCTGTCCAACCTATGCTTACCCTCAAGTCCGCTGAAGCTTTTCCACAAGAATGCAGTCAGTAAAAGCACATAGCTGAGTTTGGCTTCAGAGATTAAATTCCCTATGAAAATGCATATGGCACTGTCACTGACCTACTTGGAGTCTTCCTTTTTTATTTTTGCACACTAACATATGTTAGGATTCTTTTAGTAATTTTTACTTGATATATTCCTGGGGTGGGGAATCTTTTCTGACTTTGCCACTTAAAAGCACACACATACTGTAGTAAAATTTTGCACCCAGAGCAGCATATTATTTTAGCTCCGTAAGTAATTATCATCATTAAACTAGCTGAAAAAGTGTTTGCACACTGGGTGTTGTAGTATCCTTTTCGTACTCGGCCTGTTGTGCACTGCTAGCAGTTGAGCCATGGTAGCCCAGAGCTTGATGAAAGCAGGAACACCTTCGCAGAGCGCAGAGTAAAATTCTGTGCATCAACTTGTGGCTGCTAAGCTAACTTGGGGACATCTGTAAGGAGGTTTTAACCTTAGTCATAGATAAACAGCATCATGCTGTGTACTACTGGCACCACACCTTGCTCAGCAAACCTGTTCCCTAAGTGTATGCGATCTTCTCTGTAAAAGCAGTGCCCTGAAGCGGGAAGCTGATGCAGAGTTCGGGGGAGAGTGAACAGGTCCATGTTGTGGGGCTGTGCAGCCTTCACAATGGGGTTCATGAACCTCTGCCCAGCACCCTGACCCCTTCCTGCTGTGCAGGACCTACAGCAGCGCTGTCTGACCACCACTGCTCAGCCAACAGGGCTCCTTTTACAGCTGTTTTCTCAACCATGGCTGTCAACTACACAGTCAATGAAGTAAGCAGAGCAAAAATAAGTTACAAAATTAACTCTGTTAATGCTGCAATTTCACATGGGAGAAAAAAAAAAAACCAACAGAAAAACAAAATCCTTTTTCAAGCCTGAGTGAATCCCAAATCTTCAGCTACTCTGTGCTTCAGCACTCATCCATGCTTCCCAGTGTTTTTCTTCCTGTTGCCGGGAGCACAGAGGGAACTCACTGAAGATTTTGCAACTGTATGTAACACACGTCTTTTTTTTTTTTTTTTTCCCCTTTTAAGTCTTTGTGAGGTTTCTGGGTCTTGGTTCTGTGCCTGACTTCCTTTCTGCTCGCTCCTGTTCTGTCCATGTTTGGGAACTACAGCCTGAAAGCACAAGTCATGCAAGGGCAAACCGGGTCAGAAGCGCACGTTGCCTAATGCCCCTAGCGAGTGCCTATGAGGACAGCAGGTTCATTTCCACCAGAAATCTCTAAATCTTGTTTCTTTATTAAGTTGGAAAGCCGAGGCTGGGGTGTGAAGAGAGCTGATAAAGTCTTCCATTTTTTTGCTTTTCATTCTATCGCATCTCAAACCGGTATTTTTTAAGGCTGAAAAAAAAAAAGCTTCCAACAAATGTTCTAGCCTTTTGCATTTCATCTTACAAACTTATGAAAAGGACGTATAAAATCGCCTTTGACAACTTAGCCTGACTATTGTCACTTCTCGCGCTACGGCTCAGGCTGCTCGGCCGTGCCTCTGCTCCGAGCTAGTCCGCGCTGCCCCCGCCCCGCCCCCGGTGCCCGGGCGGCCTGCCGTGCCTGCTGTCCCTCACGCTCGCCCTTCTCCAGCCGCCTCCCAGCGCAGCGCGCTGAGGCTTGGAAAAGCAGCTGCAAACACTGGAGACTGTCGGTTCTTCGGAAAAGCTGAATTTGGGATTTCAAGCATCCCGCCTGCACAGATGCACTCGTAGTCTCCGGGG